CTAGTGAGGTCAGGGGCATTTACTCTGGTCAACCATTCCAGATGAACCCAGCTTCTGGCCACCTCCACCAAAGTACCAGACATGTGAGTAAAACCATCTTGGACCCTGTGACCAGCACATCTGCTAGCTGAAATTTATGAAGTGACCTCCATAGATACCACATGAAACAGTACAAATCATCCAGCCAAGCCCTGCCTATATTCCTGATCCACAAAATCATGAAATGTAATAGAACAGTTGTTTTTTTAAGTCACACATGACTGTGAATATCAAGGTATACGTGAGTGACGATCAGAGATTTTTAAACAGTACATAACCATTTTATAATGGAAGGAAAAAATCCTATTTGTGTTAGCTATTTTCTGCTGGCAGTAATCCTTAGTAATAAGACTACTCCACTATGCAAGTAACTCTAAAATATTCAGAATTAAGTTTGTTGGAATATACTGCTATAATTAGGTTCTTTCCATATTGGTAAAATAACTGACTATAGCAAAGCTTCATTTAACTTATGTGGGCCCAATGATACAGAAGCTCTCAGCTTAAAAAAAGAAAAAGCGCTCAGCTTATTAGAGATCTCTTATTCTTCCTGACTCAGTTCATCCTTCATACCCTCATCCTGGTTCTTCCTCTCTCTCTTGCTGGTTCTAGTGTGAGCTACACCTTATTCCTCTTTTACTATTTCAACCAAGGCCCTGAAATATCTGTATTCACATATCTTAATTTGGAATATGAAATGTTTTTCTTGCTCTCTTTTTATTCTCTTTGAGCAAACGCACAATTTTCTCCAATTCATCCCAGAAACCAATAGCTTAACTGAGTTGCTACTTTCTCACATTACCATGGGCTGAGAAAAATGAGGATACTCTTGTTAAAGAGTCGAAGATTCCTAGTGAATCAGAACTCCATGAAAAGTCTTGTCTTTAAGTATTCTCAGTATCCACATGAATATCAGATTTTAATCTTCCAGCCTTTCATTTTGCCAAAGGCCTCTTGTTGTATATGGCAAGTTCTCAAAATGAAACATCCTACCTTAAATAAATAATCACAAAAGGTGAAAATTACAAGATTAAGTTTAGAATTATATGGCATATCTATTCAGATGTAGATAAATGGCAAAAAAAAAGGCAATTTAAAATGTACACAATTACCACTTTCACAGAGAAACAAAAAAATGCAAGCTCATTAAGATCTAACATTAATAGAAAAACTACTCTGTTCACCGCCATACATTTCTTGTCTACTATATGTAAAAGAAATCTCATTTTAAAAATACCTGGAGTACACATTTAACAAAAATATTCCCTCAGAACCTCCCTTTTTCAAATCATATCCTTCATTGTGTCTCCCCCAAAGCCAACTATTATCCCTCTGTGTAATTCTCCAATAAACATTAATTTTAACACTTTTAAGTAAATGTGGAAGGTAGCCTCCAACATGGCCCCCAGTGATTTCTACCTCCTGGTATTTGCACCCTATAAGGTACCCTCCTGCCATGTACCAGGACAAAAGAAATGGACTATCTCTTCTAAGATTGGGTTATTAAAATATTGTGGCTTCCAGCTTAGGCTCTCACTCTCTCCTATCACTCATTCTGGGGGAAGCCAGCTACCATGTTGAGAACACTTAGGCAGCCATGTAGAGAGGCCCACATGGCAAGAAATGAGACTTCCAGCCAACAACCATGTGAGTGAGCCTTTTTGAAAATGGACCCTCCAGCCCCAGGCAAGACTTCAGCTGATGCAGCCCCAGCTAAAAGCTTGATTCAAACAACTTTGTGAAATACCCTGAGTCAGAAACATCCTATTAAGCCTATACAAGATTCCTAATCCCCAGAAACTGAAATAAAACATGTTTGTTTTAAGCCACTATGTTTTAGGGCAATTTGTTATACAGCAATGTATAACTAATACAATAAGCATTGCCTGTTCTTCAAAAACCAAACTCATGTTTTAAAAGTAAAAGAAAATTATAAATAGAAATAGTAATTGCAAAAATTGGGAGAAAAATTTGTTTTTAAAATCTTGGCTAAAATTGAAAGGCAACTGTAATGTCAGTTTGCCAGTTCTACTTCTAAAAACAATGAGCCAACAAAGTACTATCAGTAAAATACGGACTGTTTCTGGAAGAACAGAGATCAGGTTGAATAGGTACACTGGGAACACAATATCAACTTTTTTAAAATTGGGAAGGAAATCATTTTGTAATTTAAAAATCACAATATCCTATTTAACTGCGATAAGACATCCCACAAAGCTTGCCTTATCTATTTAGAATCTTGTCACAGCTTTATCTTGTCACAGACCATATCACATGCCTACTGATAAAACACATAAGAAAGATAAGGGCAAAGTACCAAATTTCAACAACAGATTTCACAGGCATATCAAAGCATAGATGATTTTTTTCCTGTGATGTTTCCACACCAAATCCAGAACACTTCTTTCGCTCATACAAGCCCACTTTCTAAGAACACATAAGATTTCCTATAATATGAAACAGTCCTTTTAACATAATTTATTTAATTAGAAAATGCATTTAGTACCCCCATACATTTAGTACATGAGTTGGGTATTTAAAGACATACAAAATGCAACAATAAAAGAAAAACATGGGAGCTTTTCATTTATCTGATTGGGGGAAAATGATTTCAGTGATCTCCATAGGAACTGTATATATTGATAATGAACACAACAAGGAACATGAAGACTGTACTAAAAATTAAAGCAGCAGCATCAGTAAGTATCATTTGAGTCAACGGGCAATAATTTAGTCATCAATACTGGCTAAAATAGTTGATTTAAACTCTCAAGTTCTTTAGCTTATGAATAGGAGATAGGCATTTGACTACCACATTGTTTCCTATATTTTCACCAGTTTATCTGGAATAAAGAAGACAAATTACTAACTTCCCTCTTATATAACTTACATACTTACTAAGTTTATTTGATGCTAACTGATCTCCACTGACTGAAGTTTATAGGTCCTTTCCAAAATATTTAAGACCATGTCAAGGGGCGCCTGGGTGGCTCAGTTGTTAAGCGTCTGCCTTTGGCTCAGCTCCTGATCCCAGGGTCCTGGGATCAAGCCCCACATCGGGCTCCCTGCTCCGCGGGAAGCCTGCTTCTCCCTCTCCCACTCCCCCTGCTTCTGTTCCCTCTCTCCCTGTGTCTCTCTCTGTCAAATAAATAAATAAAATCTAAAAAAAAAAAAACAAAACCATGTCCAATTTAAAATTATCTTCAGTGGAAAATGCAGCCTCTCTACTGCAATACTACTGCCATGTGCTAAAACAGTAAGATAGGAGGTAAAATTTATCCAGTTGTATCACAGGATGTGCTTTTCAAGAACTGTCAAAATTATATTAATAGGGCCCTGCAAACTTGTAACAATGTTAATGCAGAGGAATTTCCAAGAAATTACTTAGACAAGGCCTAATGTATGTTCAAATACTGTTGTCCATGGAGAAAACGTTTCTAAAATTAATGTTACAGCATAGATGATGGGCTATATTGTTTTCCCAGGAGCACATTTTCAGAACTGAGTATTTTAAAACCACAAAGTGAGTACAAACATACCTTACAAATATGATTATTGCTTCATATAACAGCATGATTACACACTTAATAACTGATTATGATGCTACATTTTTCCTTAAAAGCATTGTGCACAGACAATATCTGGAATATCCAGTACTATAAATCGGTCCACGATTCCCTGAACGTAGGAAAAAAAAGCAGTGCAAAGGCAAAGCAAGAAAAAGTTTCCGAAGAAGCAGTATAGATAAGTCATGCTTATATGACCTTCCTTCATTCCTGTACGTAGGCCAAAGAAACACTTTCAAGTGCCTCTGGCAAATCAAATGCCACGTTCCAATCCATGTACTCTAAACTGAGGAACCTATGGGATGTTTATGTACCTATCAACTTTGGGAAGGGAGGTAAACTTTTTAAAAAATGTCAAACACATCAGAATGTAATATAAAATAGCAATGTATCTTGTCTGTTTTATGTATTTCGTCTGTACTACTGTATTTAAACTGCAAAAATATTTTAAGGTGGAATGAATCACTTACTTCTTTCATCCTTTTGATTTTCGGAATTCTTAGCTTTTTCACCTGCACTCAAATTCAGACCTACAGCATTCTGCACTGATTTTTAACAATATCCTATTTTAACATGTTAGCTTAAAAATAGCCTTGCTTTCACCGCTCCACATTACTTTAAAGCAGAAGTCTGCTTTTCATTGTAGAGCCAGATTCCCAGAAAAATACCTTCTTAATTACTTCATTCTTTCAACCTCTGGGGAAACAACAAAAACTGTGGAGTTTAACTTGTGCAGCGCCGAACCTATAGGGGCTTGCAAGTTATGTATCTGCTGTTGCCGGTTTGATCCATTCTTTCCATTTCCCAGGAAAATGTTTCCTTTGGCTGCTTAGTACACCTAGAAGTGCGTGCAAACACACAGCTAAGTAGGAAGCACTACCCTTCTTTTGGACACCCATACATCTTGGTTTGATAACCTTTCAAGAAAGTTTCTTCCTGCCTCTCGGGTTTGCGGTACTTTCCAAGCAGGCAAGGCATGCCACCTGCGTAGCTGCACGTTCACAAGAAAGCAGCAAGGGCTTAGGGGGACAGGAGGGCTGGGGAGGGGAGGCACACAACAAATCAAAGCACAATCGAAACAGTATCGGTCGACAATCTGGGCTGAAGCTCGGCTTCTGAGGCTGGGGAGGAACCAGCCAAGCGTCGGTCCGGGCTGCCTGGCACGATCCGCGCCTGTCCTATCCGCCCTGGGGACACTCAGGAGGCGCGGAAGATCCCCCCCCCCAATATACACACACCAACCCCCGGCCCCGGGCCGGACGTCCCAGGCGCGAGGCCAGGCGGGCGAGGGGAACCGGCAGCAGGGGTCCCGGGCCGAGGGGCGGGAGGGCTCCCGGGGCGCCGACGGGGGGTGGGGACTCCGGGCCCCCAGGCTCGCCCCTCACGACCTCTTACCTTGGGCGATGGCAATGGACTCGAAGCGGTGCAGCTCCTTGAGCAGGCAGCTCCTCTCGGTGGAGTGCAGGCTGTAAATGAAGTCGCGCGCGCCCTGCGCCGTGTTCAGCGCCTCTATGGGCTCCTTCTTGGGGTGGGTGCCCAGCCCTCGGAAGCCGCCAGGGGCCGCGAGCGCCAGCAGCCCCCGCCCGCAGCAGCACCAGGACGGCGGGCGGGGCGCGGCGGCGGCGGCGGCGGCGGCCGGGCCGGGCCTCAGGCTGCGCGCGGTCCGGCTCCTCAGCAGCGGCAGCAGCCGGGACATGGCGGGCTGAGGAGCGGGGACCCCCGCGGCAGTCCGGGAGGGCGATTTCTGGCGAGGCAGGGGGAAGAAGGAGGTAGGCTCAGCCGGACCCCGCCCCAATGTCCTCCTGACTGGCAGCAGAGGCACCGGGCACCATGCACTCCCCGGGCCCGCGCGTCGATCGCCTCCTTTTCTGTCCCCCTTCCCTTCCGAAAGGCCCGCGGCGGCTCCGGTCCCTCCGACGAGAAAAACTTTCGGGAGGCTGCCGGGCGGGGAGAGGGCGGGTGGGCGGTGCGGGCGGGCGCCCCCCGGCTGAGGAGGGGCGGCGCGGGCGGGCGGCTAGGGTTTGTCTCTGTCAGTTTGATCTTCCAGAGGGATGAGTCAGCCACGCACCGCCCTCCTTCGGCGCCGCCCTTCGCTCCTGACGGCTTTCCCACCCTCTTGCCTGCCCTCGTCGGCGCTCCGTAGGGCTCCCGCGCCCTCAAAGCGGCCGCGCTCCAGGCCACAGCCGCCGCCGCTACCCCTAGCGGCGGTATAGAGGCTAACAAGGCGGGGCGAAGGGACGGGGCGGGGCCGCGCAAGCGCGGTCCGCGAGCTCCCCGGCCGTGCTCCCACCGGACTTGGGGGCGTGCGCAGGAGTCCACACCTCCTCCGATGCGTGATGGTGGAGGAACTGACGGCGCGCGTCCAGGTGCTGGCGCCACCTTTAAGTCCAACGCAGGGAACGGGGAAAAACAGCTCTGGATTTCTTGCTCGGCGGTAGTGCCGCTGCCACCGCTGCGCCCAAGCGCCAGGCCTAAACCTGGAGCTTGTTCCGAGCGGTTCTCCAGCATACGGCCCCCCCTCGCCCGGCACGGGCCTCCAACCGCTCGGAACCTCGGGGGGGGGGGGGCGGGCAGCGTCCTGCTCAGGCTTTTGGGGATTGAAGCCCCCACGGTGGCTTCGGCCAGGCACTCCGGTCTTTGAGGCACCCGCCCTGGGAGTTCCAAAGGGAGGGCGAGGCCAGGGGTTTGAGAATGAGGCCTTGACGGCGAAAATCCGCTTCCTCGTTGTGATGCCAGCAGCTTGCAGGCCGTTAATGCTGGAGCAAGAATGTCACAGATCTTTTCCGGCTGTTTGCCAAGGTTTGGTTTTGGTTTTTGTTTTTCTCTTTGCCAAGGCGAGAAGAATTTTTGCGATTCTGCACTGTTTGCACGTGTCCAGGTCCTAGACCTCTTTCAGGGCCAAGCTCAACGGTCTACTCCAACCTTTCCTTTCTTTATCTCCTCCTAAGGAAGATCTCCCCTTTATCTGAACCTAATGACACTTAGGCTTCCTGCCTTCGAGCCTAGATCCACTTAGAGAGTAAATCTGCTCAAGCGCAATCAAGATCGAAATCTTACCCTTGTCTTATCCGCGGCTGCACCAGGCCAACACCTGGTATGTAGTAAATGTGCTATAATCATGTAAGTGCAATATATAAATGTGAGTCGGGGGAGGAATGTTACCGCTAAATCGTTCTATTGCTCTAACTTAGCGGTTCTCAAAGTGTGGTTCCCGGACAGCAGAGCTTGTTAAGCCTGAAAATTGGCCTACTCTGCTCTAGACCCCTTGAATCAGAAGCTGGGGTTTGGGCCCACTCATCTGTGTTTTAACAAGCCCTCCAGTTAATACTGATGCACACAAAAGTTTGAGAACCACTGCTCTAACTTAACCATGAAAAGCATTTTTTTTAAAAATTTCAAGGCAGCCTCTTTGTGGCAGTTAAGAATGTGCTCTGTGGGGGCGCCTGGGTGGCTCAGTCATTAAGCGTCTGATCCCAGGGTCCTGGGATCGAGCCCCGCATCGGGCTCCCTGCTCAGCGGGGAGCCTGCTTCTCCCTCTCCCGCTCCCCCTGCTTGTGTTCCCTCTCTCGCTGTGTCCCTCTCTGTCAAATAAATAAAATCTTTAAAAAAAAAAAAAAGAATATGCTCTGTGAGGGGTGCCTGGCTGGCTCAGTTAGAAGAGCATGTGACTCCTGATCTTGGGGTGGTGAGCTGAAGCCCCACCTTGGGTGTAGAGACTATTTAAAAAAAAATGTGCTCTGTGGAAAATGAAGTTGGGTGTGAAGACTTGTGTCTTTCTTGTTTTTGAAACCCTCTACATCCCCAGTGCGGGTTGGAATCCTCTGCAGAGTTATTTCAGTCTCAAATTCTTCTCTCCTATATCTCTTACCCACAAGGGATTCTGACTCATTGAGCTTGGGGCAGGGCCTGGGAAGTGAGGTTTGGAAAAGCTATTCACTAAGAACCCATTCCTAACAGTCTTTAGGACACCAGTTTTGTGGGTGAACTCCAGAAACAGATGGCTGAAAGTTTGACAACTGGCTCAACCATTTTCTAAGTGTGTTAGTGGTATGTTACTAGAATAGTGGTTCCAATGAATCGTGGCTTATGGTATCCATTCCTTTGTGTAGACCTGTCCCACATTGACTGTGGGCTTGGCTGTGTGACCTGCTTTAGCCGGTAAGTGGGACATCACAACCCTGATCTAAGTGCTTGCTCGTTGGGACTTGTAATGTGTTTGCTGGATGATTTATGATTATTCAAGTCTGCTATAGAAAATAAGAATCTAAAATGTAGACATAATTTGCTTATGAGACATTAAACCTGGGGTAAATGGATACATGTTGATCTTAGATAAAAAGGATGGAACAAATGAAAGTGCTACTTTAGATAGAAAGAGATAGACCAAGTGAACTTTAAATATTAATAAGGTAGAGATTATACTACCTCTAGACACAACTATGTCATCCCTACATTGGCCACCTACTAGTGACACGCATTATAGTCTCACCGTGGCCTCATGTAGTCTACAAGAAAAGCAGATAAACCCCTAGCTACTCAGCCAGCCGATGGCCAGCTACAGTTATGACCAGACACACTTGCTACTTCATCTCTGACAGAACAGATATATGTTGGTTCCAGGACCTCCTCTCTTACTTTCCTCTGTGGTCCTTAAAACCACACCACCTGCAGAGAAGACTGGCACAGCAGGGAGGTTAGGACATATGAACACTGCGTAAAACAAAATTCAGATACTGTGGTCTTCCACCTTGCTATCCTAAGCTGGTTTATCTTTCCCCTTGCTAGGCAGTTCATTGTTAGAGTCTCTTATAAGATGTCAATCAGATGTCAGCTAACTGCAGCTACTGGCTGGATGCCCAAGATGGTACATTCATGTGGCTGAGGATTGATGCTGGCTTATTGGCTAGCTGCATGCTTAGCTGGGACTGTGAACCAGTGTACCTTCATTCAGCCCCTCCAGCAAGGCAGAACTTCTCCCTTCCTGGCTGGCTTCCCTCAAAGCGGGTGTCTGAAAAGAACCAGGCCCATGGCCTTTTCTGACATAGCCTAAGAAGTCATGCAGAGGGGCACCTGTGTGTTGTAGTCGGTTAAGCGTCCATCACTTGGTTTCAGCTCAGGTCTGATCTCAGGATGGTGAGATCAAGCCCTGTGTCAGGCTCCACACACGGTGGGGAGTCTGCTTGAGTTTCTCTCTCCCTCTGCCCCTCCCCCCTGCATGCACGTGCACGCTCTCTCTCTCAAATAAATAAATTAAAAAAAAAAGTCATGCAGCATCATTTCTACTGTACTCTGCTAGCTACCAGCAAGCTACTAAAGCCAGCCAAGATTCAAGAGAATTCAATGGGAACAATGCCAAAGAATTTGGGAACATGTTCTGAAGCTGCCACATAAACAGTGTGATTCAGGTGTCTTCATTTGGTTTATAAGCCCATCTGTCCTGTGACCTATGGTAGAGTCTGTGTGGTGGTGTACTTGGAACCTGCCATTGCATCAAGGTAATTCTCCACGTGACATTTGCCCTTTGGAATTCAGCTGCCATACATAGAACTCCGGAGTATCCTGCTAGAAAGACCACACGGAGGAGGAGGCAACAGCCAGTAACCCCAGCTAACTACCAGGCACATTTATAGGGCCATCTTGGCCCATCCAGTCTCAATCAAGACCCAGATGACAGCATTGCAAAGAGGTAAAATCATTAGCTCTGGAGCCAGACTTCCTGGGTTTGGGTCCTCACTCCTCCATTTACTAGCTCTCTAACTTTGAGCTGATAACTTAATCTTTCACGGACGCTCATCTGATGGAATAAAGGCATGTTGTTAAATTTGCTCATCTGTTGAATGGAAATAAGGCATCTGCTTTATAGGGCTATAGTGAAACTAAATGAATTAATACATGTAAAGCATTTCAAATAATACCTGGAACATGGTGAGTGCTTGATAAATATTAGCTCTCATTATCCAAATTCCTGTGAACCTCTCACACCTCTAGGATTATGTCTTTGGACCCTAATTTGAGAAATATCTACCTAGCTATCTGTTGTTTAATACACATTTACTGTGTACTAATTGGATCCCTTATCCATTCCCTTTCTCTGAACATTTGAATATCCTAAATCTGAGTAAATGGAGGAGATGGGGAGAGAGGAGGGCTTGGGGTCTGTGTCTAGAGCTATGGAGAAATACAGAATAAGGCAGGTGCATGTGGGTGGCAAGAGGAAGGTCCTGAGGAAATTGTGAGGCTGCTGAAGAGAGGGCCAGCAGGTTAGAGAAGGTTATGGAAGAGGGAGAGCAGGAGGGCCTGGATTCAGCCTAGCCTGCCCTTCACTTTTAAAGATGACAGACATCATGCCTCAGTTAATAATCACAGTCTCCTCCTCCTCCTGAAAAGTTGCTGCTGAATCAACAGTCCACAGTAGATTACATCATGCAAATACCTTCCAGAGTTCTGGCATCTCCCTTACTGGCAGGGCACAAGGCTGTTTGCTGTGTACACGTTCTGATACGTTATACACCCAGCTATTACTGTCCATTTTTAAATTCCTGAATTGTTGCTTTATTTAGTGGGACCTTTAATCATTTATTCTGCCCACATTTATGTAGTTCCCTTTTGGCACTTCTCATCCCTCAGTTTCCCACCTTAGGATTCTGACCCCTGGAACTCCCTAGCACCATCAGAATTACGGTACACGGATTGCTGCTTCACAATGAAAAGCATGAAAGGCAATTAGAAAAATTAAAGAAGACTTAAATAAACGGAGAGAAATACCAATTAAAGTTTGG